GTGGAGGATGCCGCCGATGTTGTCGAGGCCACGTCCGCCGGTGTTGCGGTCCCGCTCTCTGCCAACAAAGAGCCCCGGCGGTTCATTTCTCCCTTCTCCGTGAGGGTCTGCTCCAGGATCTCTCCACAGTCCACACACTTGACCCGGGTCATGTAGCCGTTGCTCCCTGCCCGACTGGTGTTTCGATGTTCGCAAACCAAGGAATGCGGACTTGCCGGGTTCGAACTTGGTGTGTTCGCTGGCAGTGGAACATAGGGATGACGTCGTGGAACTGCCGGTGGTCCGTTCTCTTCCGGGGTGTTCACAGGCACCCTGGCTTTGCGATCCTGAGACATCTTGTTCACCGGCATCGGTGGTGGTGGACCCTTTGGTGCCGACGTTGGAACCGCTCTTCCCTGCGGACTTTTGGTAGGGCTCGGAGACGCCAGGAAGCTTGGGGTTCCGGGAACCCACATGTCTTGGTTGTCGTCCTCCAGCCACTGAAAGTAGGCACACTGTTTCTGCGGTTGGTGGAACAGGGGGCACCGAAGGAAAAGTCGATGACAGTTCGGGCCCTGCTTCTTGGTCCGGATCAAGTTGACTTCCAGACCGCAGTAGCACTTGATCCCCTGAGGGTCGAACCGGAGCCTCGGATATTGAGGCTCTTCGTTCTCGGTCTCCGGCACCAGACGCTTGCGAGGCTTCTCTGGGGTCGTGTCGGTCATCGGCTCGATCACACTCCAGTCGTCCTGGTCTTGGTCGTAGCGTCGGGCAACCGTAGCATCCGTAATCATCTCCTTGGCCAAGTAGAGCTCGCTGTCCTCCATCATGCGGATCGTCTCGATCATTTGCTCCCTCAGTTGTTCCCGAGGATGCTGCACTCCCATGAGGCGAAGCATTGCTCGTTGCGCCGCATTGGCCACTAGAACCATCAGGCGCAGAACCACGCGCCGCCACGCCATCTCCTGGAAGGTGTAGTCGGGCTCCTCCTCCTTGGAGCTGCGGCTGCGCTTGTTCGGGGGAGTCCGTTCCATGCTGGTCACCGCCGAACTGATTGGAAACAGGTTCTGCTAATTGAGAGGCGCCGTTGAGCCGGAATCTCACCGACTTCCTTGCTGAAACACTGGCAGGTTGAAGATTGTGGGCCTCGTTCGTTCGGGGTTCTTTGCTTATACGGTCGATGGCCTGGTTCAGGTTCTTCAACATAGCTTCTGTGAAGTGACCGAGTGGAACTCTGAGGGCACCAGTAGGACCGATATGCAACGGAACCTCACATTGAAAACGCGCCATCTTCATCTTCAAACCGACTGTTGGATCTAAGACCAGTGTAGCTCTGCAGTATAACAAGAACGGCAGTGACAGAAGAAAGGGAGCTTTGGAGCTCTGGCCTTCATCGAACACCGCGGGTCGAAGCACACAACCTTTCGGACCGAGGCTGGCGGGGATACAGGCGACCTTAGATGTACGGGACAGACCGTTCACCGACTTGAACATGTGAACCTCGTCCTTTAAGTGGACCTTGGTACCCGCAGGATGTCCTTGAAGTAGAAGATCTAAGGTCTGACTTCCGATAGCAGTTCTCTGACATCCGGTATCTATCGTGGCACACAGGGACTCATCATTGGGCTCAATCTTCTCTACTGACAGCACTTCATGCGGAAGACCTAAGGCAGCGCACATATATGCTTCCCGAGGCTGAGTGGATCCACGCCGTCCTTGGGCACTACTACAAAACTCGGTAGACGATGCACTCCGTCCGACGGAAAGATCAGACCTGCCGGGCTGGACGTCCTGGCTCGCACCCTCGCGCTCCTTGATAAAGTCGAGGTAGTGCAGGAAGAGTGCCTCCTCGCTCTCGTCCTCCAGGAAGTGAGCCTCTTTCGCAGGGGCTCCCTTTTCTCGCTCCGGGCACTCACGAGCCCAGTGTCCAACCTTCTGGCAGTGGTTGCACTTGGTTCGCTGCTTCAACAGTTCGATCGACACCTTGTAGGACTGGCCGGTTCGTAGGGGTCCTCCGGGTCCGCCTTGACTTCCAAAGCGACCGGAGGGGTCACGGTTGATGCCGTAACCTCGGGCCAATCCCTTGGCCTTCTTCGCATCGTGGACCGCCTTGAAACTTCGTTTGCCTTTTCCCTTGCCGTAGTTCCGAACCATTGTCGCCAAGACCTCCTTGACCTCATCCTCATCAAACACCTCATCATCGGCCGGGTGGTTCGCCTCGGGGTCCTCGAGCTGCTCCATGGCATTCAGAAGCACTTCGAGCTCCTCGGGGTCCCCGTGGTCCTCGTACTCTTCATCGGCTTCGACGCCCGTCTGATCAAGATGCATCACCGCGTTCGGCTTCTTGGCTGCCGCGGCGTCTCCCGTCCGCCACGCCAGCTCGGACTCGTTGACCCGAGTCCACTCCTTGACCACCTTCGGAGTCAACTTTCCCTGGGTGTAGTTCATCATCAGCTTGATGTCACCTTGGGTCAGCTGCAGGGCGTTGATCAGAAGGAAACCCAAGTATTCATCAGGTAGCTGAACCTGATGCTCGCTCAATTTGCGAACCTGGAGCTCCCATCTCGCAAAGAAAGCCTTGTAGCCTTCGCCTCTATTGCGTCGAAGAGTGTACGTCACCCGGGCTAAGGTGTTGATCATCTCCTCTCTCTCGTCCTCACCGTAGAGCTCCTTTGCCGACATCTTCTTCAGCAGGTCCTCGCCATTCGATGAGCTTTCCATCCAAGCGGTATCCTTGGCAAGGTGTTTCAGGTCGTCAAAGGGGGTGCCGGAGAGGTTCTTGAGGAGAAGGGGACCTCGAGCTCGAGGTCGTACCTTAGTAGTGGCCAACCATAGTCGGCACCTGATCTCATAGTCGCGGAACGCTCCGGTTCCGTCCCATGCCGGCGGAGGCCCGGCGTTGCTCCGTCCATCAGGAGGAGCCTCTTCATCATCTTCATCATCACGTTGGCTCCTTCGCCTGACAGGACCAGAAGCTCGCCGTTGGCGGAGAAATTGCTCAAAAGCGGCAAACTCTCCAAGCTGCTGCCCGTCACCTCGTCGTGACGGACTAAACCCAGGAGGAGCCCCGGTCGAAGCACCGTCAGCTTCCTGCCGCGGCGCATAGTCGCGCCAGGGATCGTCTTCCTCCGGTTCTTCCGCTTCAACATCTCCTTCAGGAACTGGTTGGGCAGCGGCGGTCGAATCAGTCATGTCGTGCTGCCAGCGGAACACAAAGTCGCCTCAGCGGCTGAGCTGCAAGCTCGGCAGAGGCTCCCCGGACTTCGTGATAGCTCCGCTACCACTGTCGCGGAGTGCGACAGTGGTATCACTCGGACATGTCTTTTTCTCCCTGTTGGCCGCTTGAGCCAAACCCCGTTGGCAATCACTTGCTTGAAACACTGCTGCACGGATCTCTCATGAGACTGCATGTTTTGGGAAGCAACAACAGAAACACACTAGACCCTAGACCCTTAAACCCTAGACCCTAAACCCTAAACCCCTAAACCCTAAACCCTACGAGGCCTCAACTCTGCAGCCATAGAGACTCGGGTGTGTGTGGGGTTGCCGAGGGGATCTGGGCCCGCTCTCCTCGTCAGCTTCTTCTACCCACTTTCAAGGATCATGGGACTTAGTAACTTTAAAGGGCTCCTTAAAGGGTTCTATAAGGGATCCATAGGGGTTTAGGGTATTTCAGGGATCATGGGACGTAGTATAGTAACTAGGGTTCCTTAAACGGATCTATGGGGTTTAGGGTTTAGGGTCTACTTAAAGGATCATGGGACTTAGTAACTAGGGTCATAAGCACGGTAATTATACGTATAATTACTTATGACCTGAATTAGGGTACTTATAGCCTTACTTACTGAGTCCCTTGATCCTCCAAGCAGAGACTCCAATAGCCCTTAAATAAGGCATACCTAGGGCTCCTTTAAGGGATCTCTCGGGTTGAGGGTTTAGGAGACTCCAATATCCCTTAATT